TTGCTAATAGGGTGTGCTGTTTGCTAATAGGATGTGCTGTTTGCATATAGTGGTGTGCTGTTTGCATATAGGGGTGTGCTGTTTGCATATAGGGGTGTGCTGTTTACTAATAGGATTGTGCTGTTTACTAATATGATTGTGCTGTTTGCTAAGAGGGTGTGCTATTTGCTAATAGTGTGTGCTGTTTGCATATAGGGGTGTGCTGTTTGCTAATATGATTGTGCTGTTTGCTAAGAGGGTGTGATATTTGCTAATAGTGTGTGCTGTTTGCATATAGGGGTGTGCTGTTTGCTAATATGATTGTGCTGTTTGCTAAGAGGGTGTGCTATTTGCTAATAGTGTGTGCTGTTTGCATATAGGGGTGTGCTGTTTGCTAATAGGATTGTGCTGTTTGCTAAGAGGGTGTGCTCTTTGCTAATAGGATTGTGCTGTTTGCTAAGAGGGTGTGCTGTTTGCTAATAGGATTGTGCTGTTTGCTAAGAGGGTGTGCTCTTTGCTAATAGGATTGTGCTGTTTGCTAAGAGGGTGTGCTCTTTGCTAATAGGATTGTGCTGTTTGCTAAGAGGGTGTGCTGTTTGCTAATAGGATTGTGCTCTTTGCTAATAGGATTGTGCTGTTATTTGCACTAATCGCTGAACAAGTTTTTGTTATTCCGCTTACTTCGGGATGGCCTCACACCGAGCCTCACGACTCGTTTTCAGGAGGGCCCTGCCCAGATTTCCCAGTAAGGGTGGCAACGTTGCTGCTTCTGCTGCTGTTGCTGCTTCTGCTGTTGCTGCTTCTGCTGCTGCTGCTACGGTTGCTTCTGCTGCTGCTCTGTGTGATACCAACCGAGTAACCTGCAGGGAATTTTAACACGTAGGCTTTCGCGACCAATATTATTCATAATAAAGTTTTTGGGTTAGATCGCGTCGCGTTATCTATAAATGTGTCGTAACCCTCCACCACCCGACACGGCCAATCAGTAAAAAGTGTCACGTTGACAAAAGACAAATAGTTCACTACTTTAGCCCACCGGTGTGTTGAAGAGTGAATCCACAACTATTTGTCTTTTGTCAACGTGACACTTTTTTACTGATTAGCCGTGTCGGGTGGTGGAGGGTTACGACACATTTATAGATAACGCGATCTAACCCAAAAACGTTTATTATGAACTGCAGGGAATTGTTCAGCGTTGGCGATGTTTTTGGGGGTCAGCACCAGGCCACGTATCAGAACCGGGAGAGAATCCCGACGCAGACAGTCGCCCGCGACGAGAGTCCAACCGGCGCTTCTTGTCGCGCGGCGCGAGAGCGGCCGCTGCAGCACCCCCCCCCCACCCCCCGCTGGGGTCGCCCGCTCGAGGCGTTGCGGACGGAGCGGTCGCGTATGGCCAGCGTTTATCTGAACCGTTGCGCTGCCGCGTTGACGTGATTGGACTCAAATATATCCGCGGCTCCATTGTGGATGGGCTACAGCGCTGCGCTGTTGCAGTGCGATCAACCTGCGCCCGGAACGCACCACACTGTGCCCCATCTCCATCTCGCCACATCTCGGAAGCCAAAGCAGCGTTGAGCCACGGATAGCGGCGCTTCGATGGGCGACCACCACGCCTGACGGGGCACTAGCGGCTTGCGGCGCTGGTGGGGCTACGCGGCGGGCAGCAGAGTCTGTTGGCCTGTACTTCTACGCTTCCCACGTCTGTGCTCCCCCTGCCGTCGCCAATCCTGCGCTGGCCGGCTCGGTTAAGTTGTGCTCAACTAACCCCTCAACCGGGCCCTCATCCAGCAGTGGATTTTGACAGACAGGGGGGGGGGACACGCGATGGCAAATGTACGCTGGGTAACCACGGCACCGGGAAACCGCCCAGAGCTCCCCTGTCGAATGCGGCAACGTCGCGTATCCGACTCGCTGGGGGGGAGGGTGGGGAGATGCATGTTGAACTTCTTTCGCACCGTACGTAGCCAGCCGTGCTGATCGGAGGTGCGGGGGAAGGACACCAAACTAAACAAGAAAAGCAGTTGTAAAGAAATGAGTTTCCAATCTCGATTAAAAAGTGCGTAGCTCCAGTGGCTTGCTAATATCGGAAGGAAGAGCATTCCAGATGGCCACACAAACGCATCTGAAAGCGCCGCGCGATGCGGTGACCACCGCCTTCGTTCGATTGCTGAGCCAAAAGCCGCCGCTGCGAGGATGGCCGGAGTCACGTGATGGTTGATGCTCGTTGACGAGATCCTCGAGGTGTTGTGGTTCATTTGTGGCGAGCGCTTTGTGTGTAATGAGTGCCACCTTATAACGTATTCGCTCGGCAACCGGAAGCCGACGCGGCTCAGCGAGCACTGGACAGTCGGATACGCGAACGCGTCTCACGAAGTGACCGTTGACACCCCCAGCGCGTGTTGCGGATACCGGGGCGTGCGGGGCAGTTACGCTGATCGGTTTGGGGGCTTGGGGGTGGTGGGCGAGCACGCGACAGGTTCAGATGGGCGATGGTGTTCCGTGAAGGGGATGCCACAGCGGCCTGTTCTCGAGGTTAAAGTCGAGAGCATTTTCTCAGTTGTTGGGTCCTCAAGAGGGAGATGGAGCCGCATGGATGGAGAGGGCGTGCCGGTCTCTCTCGCCGCTCATTCCCTCGCTCCCTCTCTCTCCGCGCCAAGCGCCGGCGCTTTTGGAACTTCCGAGTAGTTCTGCGGCCGAGAGAATGATTCAGCGTGAGTCATATACATCTTTTAAATGCCTCGTGGTTTGTATAGGAACCCGAAAACATCCCACGCGAAAAGAAAAAAAACAACACACAACGACCGGCGGCCGCTTCCCGGGCAGTTATAGAAACGTGTGGGGCACAGCGCAGAAGACGAGTACACGCGCACACGCGCACGCACACACGCACACGCGCACACACGCGCACACACGCGCACGTGCACACACACACGCATACGCACACACGCACGTGCGTACACGCACCAGCGCCAGTGGGGGGTGGCGTGGGGCGCACCGCTTCCTCGTCGCCTCCGTTGTCATTGCGCCTGCGAAGGAACTCGCTGAGCATGCGCGATCCCAACCGTGTCGGATGTGGAGAGCCAAGCCGGGTCGAGCCCTGTGGATGATGGTGCTTTGGATGGATCCAGTGTGGGGGTGCTGTCCCCGAGTGGGATAACAGAAGAGACGTGGACGAGAGATGGAGGTGTAAACAACTGAAAACGAAAACTGTTTTTCTTTTTTTACCGGGCAAGGCCTCACTGAGCTATGCAGCTTCTTTTTCAGCAGCGACCCGGCCACCACAAACGATAGCCTGACGAAGTGGCTCATCGTCACGTGGACATTTCCAACAGTCAAATATCCTAGATGCGTGATGTTGAGTCTACATGTGGGGGGGGAAACCAGAGGACCCGGAGAAAAATCCACGTGACCACGGGGAGGGAGAGACACGCAAACTCCAAATATACAGCAGCAAGCGTCGTCAGGGTCGGGATCGAACCCACAACCTCCTGTTTACCAGGCGAGGTAGTTAACATCTCCCAACCACCCCAGCACCCTTGACCTTTAGGATCACAATCTTAAAAGAGCCGCGTACTACTTGGGCCCTCGTTTCTTTAGCCACTTGGCCATCCTAGACAATGTGCGGTGTGATTCAGGGAAGTTTAGCAATGCAAGGGTGAGCGCACAGACTCCCAATATACAGCAGCAGGAGTCAGGTTCGGGATTGAACCCACGAGCTCTTGTATGCCAGGCGAGGTAGTTAACATCTCCTCGCCACCGTGATGAGATGATGAGAGAGATGTGGAACAAAGATAGCGATGTAGAGAAATAGCAGATGAGAGATGGAGACAAGACAGGGGTGAGAGAGATGCATTAGGGGTTTGTGGTTGGGTGTTTTATTGGTTAGGATTTCAATTTGAGCTGATATCTGCTTTTTCCAATGCTTTTTCCATGAATCCGGGGGGGGGGGGGCCTGAGCTACTTGGGGCCCTGAACTTTAGCTTCATCTGCGTGCGGGGGCGTGCGGTCACCATGCACGCCAGGCTGCTGCTGTCGGCTGCTGCTCAGTGCCGGATTAAGCTAGTGCGGGCCTGTAGCGTATGTAGCTACTTTTGCTACTAGGATAATCCGGCACTGCTGCTGCTGCTGCTCCGGCTTTAGCTACGTGGAATGCAGCAGACCAATAATGCAGCAAAGCCCACTGCTGTGCCGTACTTCTATGCCCCCCCACTGCCCACGCTCCCTGCGTCCACGAACCCTCGTGTGTTGAAGTACGGTCAGACGACCTTGACGTGCTGCACGGCGTTAGGGAGGCCCTCATCCAGCAGTGGATTGGCAGAATCGCTCTGCCTGTAGCATAGGTGCATGAAATACCAGAGCGTGCAGGAAGTATCACGGTTGATTACGTATGGTGCGAAAGAAGTTCAACATGCATAAACTACACCTTACATACTACTCTGAACTACCCACTACACTACACGACACTACTATACACTACACCACTATACACTACACCACTATACCGATTTGAAAACAAATTTCTTTAAAACTGCTTTTTGGTGGTTAGTTTGTTGTCCTTCCTCCGTGCGTCCGATTTGCACGGTTGGTTCCGTACGGTACGAAAGAAGTTCCACATACACACCTTCATACTGTGCGGTGGAGTGTACTTCAGAAAGCCTGTGATGTCCAGTGTAAGGGTTCGCCCATTGATGTGCTTGTGTCAGAGTGAGAATCGGGATCTTTGTCAGCCAGTTTAAGATGTACGTTGAACTTTTTTCGCACCGTACGTAGCCAACCGTGCTCCACTCGTGCCGGCGAATAGCAGGTTGGATACGTATGGTGCAAAAGGAGTCCCAACGTACGTCAGAGGTAGGAGGCCAAACACCCTCCACGAGAGGCGGCCTCTTGTCCGTGGAGGCCCCTTGGGCAGCCGCAGCGCGAGCGGAGCGGCCGCAGCGCTGCGCCGCCTGCACCAAGTCGCGCCCCTCGGGTCGCTGCCGCCCCCCCGCCTGACCGCGTTCTCCCCCCATGCGTGGCGCCAGCAGGGCACGGGAGCGACGTCATGTCGTCGCCGGCGCCGGCGCCGCCCGCCTTCGTGTACGAGTGCCCCGGCCACGCGGCCGACGTGCTGCGGCAGCTGGACGAGCAGCGGCGCGACGCGGCCAGCGCCGGCTCCTCCGCCGGCGGCCTGTGCGACGCCAGCGTCGCCGCGGGAGGCGGCCGCTTCCCCGCGCACTGCGCCGTCCTGGCGGCGTGCAGCGACTTCTTCCGCGCGGCGCTGGCGCTCCCGCCCGCCGCCGCCGCCGCCTCTCCCGCCGGCTCCGGCGCGACGACGACGGAGCGGCCGCCCGACGTGCGCACGTTCAACCTCCCCGCCGAGGTACGCGGGAGGGTGGAGGGGAGTCGAGGTGACTGTAATTGTGGCATCCAGGTCTCTTCTGCAAATCAAAAAGTTATCAAATCGTTTTTACATTTGGCTATCAGGAAGGCGCTGTGTTGCGCACGCGCAGCCTGGAGTAGTTTCACGGCAGGGGACCATGTTGCTAATTGCCGTAACCCAATTAGGAATTTAAGAGTTGTTTATTTTCAATCGGCAGATTTGGACGATGACGCTGGCTTGCAAACGTGGGGCCTCCTCTTAGAACAACGCCACGGGGGGGCTTTGTGACGTCCACTGGCGTCGTAACACCGTGCACCCGCCGGCATGAAGCCAGGGCCGGCCTGCCGGGCTGAGACTGGCGAATCTTCGCCCTTAAGTGGCAAAAAAAAACCTCAAGTTTAATTGAATTATTATACAGGGCAGGTAATTAACGGAAGTTTTAATTTTAGTGAACAAGAACCTATTCGGTGGGGGGATGGCAAACGACCCAAGAAAAGTAAACAAAACCGATTTGGAGTCATTAAAACGCGTGAGATGGGAATCGAAGGTTGCTTCAAACAATGCGACTTTAGGCGTTGCAATGAGATTTGAACTTAAATAAAAAACACTTTTTGTTTTAAAGGGTATAAACACAAAAATACGGAAATACATCTGGGAGGGAAAACCGGCATGAGAAACGGCGAATGTGGAGGGGGGGGGGTGGGTGGAGTGGGGGGGGCCGTGGCGGTAGCGGCCTCGCGAGTGTGGGAGTTGGGCGGCCTGTGAGTCAGGCTTCCTGAGGCCACCGCTGCCACCGCTGGCTTTGGCCTCCCGCCAGGTTTAACCCCAAACCTCCCCCCCCCCGCCCCCTTGCAAGCGTCGACAACGGAACAGTTGGCCGACTGCACGCACAGCGCCCTCGGCCCCCTTCATCCAGCAGTGGATCTCTCCGCAGAGTCGATCGGGGAGCCCGCCTCGTGGAGATTCGCCGGAATCTCCCGCGCGGCGCTCGAATTCGAGAATGAAGTGCGTACGAAACGTACAAATCTGGTGACTGTTTCACTTGCATCAGAGAGTTGGACGACGTCGCCTAAATAGTCACCCAGACCACCTTCAGTCACCGCCGCCGCTTGAAGTTACTGCCGCGATCCGGGAAGTCGTCGAGTTTGTTGTTGTTGTTGCTGCGCCATTCTTTAAACCGTCCTGTGGCGAGCGAGGTGTTTGTCTTAACGGATTCACGCCACGCGCCCCCCCCCCCCCCCCCGACCTCGCGATTCGAGGAGGGAAATTGTCCCACCGATTCCGTGGGGAATTGTCCACGATTCTGGAAAACACGGCTCGACGTTTCCCGTTCAGGAACGGAATCTGTTCGACCGCTTTTCTTTTTAAATCCTTTATGTTAAGTTCGCGTGCTTGCTTGCTTGCTTGCGTGCTTGCTTGCTTGCTTAGGACCGTGCAAATCTTTCGGTCGTTTTTTAACCCACTTCCCGTGATCCAATCGAGCTGACATTTTCCACACAGACTCGTTGTGCCAGACAATTATTGTTCGTGAAAAAAAATTCCCAAAATTTTACACTTTTTAGGCAAAAAAAATTTATTTTACATATATTCAAATAGAACGCATTCATGGCTTTGGCTGAACGTCAGAGTGTAAGAGCCCAGAGCGTAACCCCTCCACAGGCCGTGGCGGAGTAGCGCAGTTGGTAGCGCCCTCGCTTCCCATGCCAAAGGTCGCGGGATCGATCCCCGCGTCCTCCACAGGCGAATATATTTTTAAATCCTTTATATTAAGTTCGCTGCCACGCATATAAAGGATTTTTAGTGAAAAACTTTGTTTTTACGGTATATACTTATTACCGCCGAATCTCTTTGCACCCTCCGATTCGCTCCGTGAGTGAAACTGAAGGCACGTCGTCAGACTTTTACGGCTACGTATGTGTGCACGTATGTTGAACTTCTTCCGCACCATACGTAGCCAACCGTGCAGCATTAATCGGCGGGCGGCCGATTCCAACCACGAACCTCCACGGCGAGCGGTGAACCCGCTCCCGTTGGGCAGTGCGGCCGTCCGCGGAGCGGTTGGCGCTTGTCGCAGGGGCTCGTTGTTCGAGGCCATGCGGCCGCCCTGGTTGGTGCCGAGGGGCGACGTGCTGTCCGCTTCGCAGCAAGCATCCCGTGCTGCCGCTTGACAGACGTAAAGCCACGTGTGGCAGCGTCACGGGCAAGATTTGCTCAATTCTAAGAGATTGAAGGCCGCAGAAATGACTGGATTGGTTAAAATCACATCGCGACATCGCCCTCTGCCGTGAACCCGTCTGTCAAACACAGCAGCGCCTTCCTTGTGATGATAGCTTGTTTTTCCAAAATAAATATTAGCGAAAAAACAGATTATTAGCATTATTATTACGTGAATGGCCATTGTTGTATTTGACAACAACAAAAATCTGGCAAATGTTTGGTGAGACCTGGTCTGCGAGCTGCCGCGGATTTTTCTGCGATGGCGCGGGTTTTGCCGCCGGGGGGGCGGGCGGGGGAGAGGAAAATCGGGGCTGAGAATTTGGCAAAGATGCAAAACACCGCGGCGTGTCTCATCCTCACGGACGCGGGATGCTCCATCCATCTCGCACGTCATCACCGCACGGAACACAAACTTCACGCCCGTGGGTTGCCGAGCTGAGGTCACCATGTTCAAGCCCCGGGGCTGGGTGGTTCTCTTAGGGGGGGGGGTTCATAATGGCCGTGTCGGAGATACTGAGCCAGCCCTCTCCAAAGGGCCTGGGTTCAAGGTTCAAGGCCTGGGTCTGGGTGTCTCTCTCTCAAGGGGTTCACAAAGGCCAAGTTGGAAACATTGAGCCAGCACTGCCACCAAGTGGCCTGGGTTCAAGGTTCAAGTCCTGGGTCTGTTGTCGTCTCTGTTTCTGTATCAGATGACACGAACATTTACTCTCATATCGGGAGCCCGTGGTTATCTGCTGCCCTCTATCGTGTGGTCCAGGCTACGCTGTGGCATTGTAGAAGTTTTGTGCCACCTTAGGACCCTTTCATGAGTGAAAGTGTCCTTTGCCGATTGAACAGCTGGCGGTCAAACCAACGTCGCTTCAAGAAAGACCGATTCTGCCGGTGATACGCCAAATGTCAAAAAACCCGGTCCAGAGCTTTCGCGTGTTCAACGCGGCGGCGCCGCCAATGAGTTGCTTTCTCAGCAGGCCATGTGGCTAATGGAGATGTAAAAGTAAAAAAAACAGACAAAACTTGCATTATCTTGTGGAGAGACATATATTGGAAAGTGAGGGGGTGTTCTTTCTTTTTTGCGTGGACCAAAGGTCATTTGGAGTTGCCTCGGGAGGCAGTTCTGCGACATCCGCTTCTGCGGGATGACCTCTTAACACGAAGAAGGGGTTTTGCGAATAGGAGAGTCACAAGAGACACAACGCCCGGCAGTGCGATCGGAAGTAAAATTGCGTGGACAAATGACAAAAAAAAGCACATATATTTTTATTTTACGAGGTGTAAAGGGCCCACTGAGCTACGTAGCTATTTTTCAGAAGCGACAGGGCTTTCACAAATGATAGCTCAATGAAGTGGCTTATAATTCAACAAAGTGAATAATTATTGTTTGGAAATTTATAGCAGCCAAATACCCTAAACGGCCATAATGTTAATTGTGGAGGGGAAAAACCAGATGACCCGGATACACAGCAGCAGGCGTCTGGGTTGGGATCGAACCCACGACCTCCTGTATACCAGGCGAGGTAGTTAACATCTCCAAGCCACCGTGATGATGAGGAGAGAGAGACACGCAAACTCCAAATATACAGCAGGCGTCAGGGTCGGGATCGAACCCACGACCTTCTGTATACCAGGCGAGGGAGTTAACATCTCAGAGCCACCGTGGGGCCCTAGAAGAAATGTACCGTGAGTGTAAATCCCCTCTCGCCCCCCCTCGCCCCCCCCCTCACCTCCCCACCCACTCCCACTTGGCTCTTGGCAGTTTTCCCCTTCGTTGCTCCACAGGCCTGGAATGGGGTGGGGGGGGTCACACGTCTGGAAAGGCAGCACGGAGTAAAACTTCGTAAGCAGCAGAGACTTAAGACAAAGAGCCCCCGTGTAGCCTTAACAGACCGTTGGGGCAAGTGCTGTTATCGAGCACCTGTGAAGGCTGGAACGGCTCACGAGAGGGGTGGGTGGCCAGCACCACGCCCGGCCGCCTTTGTCTCCACAGCGGCGATATTTTCACGCACCGCACCAGGTGCTCATTTGAGGCCGAGTCGACCTAAAGGAGGCGCTCGCCGCTGCACCACCACTCCCACACACACACAGACACACATCCTGTTTTGAAGGCAGCCATGGTGATGGGTAGCCGAAGCAGGAAATTCTTCGCAGTCTCCCGGTGCCGCCCACCGCCTCACGTCCTCGCCGAGCTGCGCGTCTCAAACGATGCGGCCGCCCCCCCTCGGCGCGGAGGGCGGCGGCGGTGGAGGTGGTGGTGAGCGGTGGTGCAGCGGTTAGCGCGCTGTGCTTCAAACCCGGCGAGCCGAGTTGGATTCCCGCTCGCGGCCAACATCGGTGACGGTTATCCGAACCGGTCCCAGGCCCCCCCTCGGTCGACTCGGCCTCAAATGAGTACCTGGTGCGGTGTGTAAACATCGCCACTGGGGGAGACAAAGGCGGCCGGGCGTGGTGCTGGCCACCCACCCCCTCGTGTGCCACAGTGCCGGCCTTCATAGGTGCTGCTGCTCGTTAACGGCACTTGCCCCAACAGTCTGTTAAGGCTACATGGAGGATCTTTGTCTTTGTTTTTTGGTGCCGCCCCAGCGGTGGTGTCACGTGGGGGGGGGGGGGGGGGGATTCGATTCGTTGTCGTTCGATTTCACCTCCTGACGTGATGACTTGAAAAGGTTGTGTGAAATGACAATAAATAACGACACGTTAAACACAAAACTACAAGGGTCTGTTTTGGATGACATCCGCAGCACCCTTGCAAGCGGGGGGGGGGGGGGGGGCACCTCACGTGCACGGTGGGGCGAGTCTCTTGGATCTCGCTTCAGCCTCTGTCCACCCAGCTGCGCCTAGCGGGCTCAATCTCGGCCTATGTATACGTGTGCGTTGGACTTCTTTCGCACCGTACGTTGCCAACCGTGCTAATCGGAGGTGCGGAGGAAGGACAACAAACTAAACACGAAAAGCAATTTGAAAGAAATAAGTTTGTCAACCTAGATGATGATTTAAAAGTGCCATAGCTCCCAGTAGCTTCATAATATCGGGAGGAAGAGCGTTCCAGACGGCTGCAGAAGCGCATCTGAAAGCGCCGCACGATGCGGTGACCACCGCCTTTGTTCGAGGGCAAAGCCAAAAGCCGCTGCTACTGCTGCGAGGATGACCGGAGGATGACCGGAGCTCGTGTGATGCTTGATGTTCCCTGACGAGATCATCGAGCTGTTGTATTCACAGAGACCCATAGACTCACACAGACACCCACAGACTCACACAGAGACCCATAGACTCACACAGAGACCCACAGACTCACACAGAGACGCATAGACCCACACTGAGACCCATAGACTCACACAGAGACCCATAGTCCCACACAGAGACTCATAGACTCACACAGAGACCCACAGACTCACACAGACACCCACAGACTCACACAGAGACCAACAGACTCACACAGAGACCCATAGTCCCACACAGAGACCCATAGACTCACACAGAGACCCATAGACTCACATATAGACCCACAGACTCACACACAGACCCACAGACTCACACAGACATCCACAGACTCACACAGAGACCAACAGACTCACACAAAGACCCACAGACTCGCACAGAGACCGACAGACTCAAACAGAGACCCATAGACCCACACAGAGACCCACATACTCACATAGAGACCTGTAGACTCTCTGCTCCTGAACAGGCTCCACACCTTCTCCTCTGCCCATTACCGACTGAACACGTCCTGAGATTCACTCAAGTTTTACTGGGAAAGAAAAGGGCACGCTTCAGGTGTTGTTACATTTCATTTGGCTGAGGTGATCGGATGACCCCGAGGTGATAACGCTGAACCAGCAATGCTGAGAGCCTGGGTTCAAACCCGGGCTACAGCCCCTCAGCTGCGATTAAACCAGGCGCTCAGGTGCGGAGAGTCGCTGGTTGGAGCCCGGTCACCACTGACGACCGCACAAAAAAAGCATTGCATTGAAAAAACAAAAATTAGCTTTACATTTAAAAAACTAATTACACTTCAGTTTGCCTCCCAGTGTGTGGATGGAAGAGGTGACATGGGTAGCTCTGAGATCAGCGGCTCTGTGGGCTTTCTCTAACCCAGAGGGACGCACTGCTCTGCGAGATTTCTAATAAAATGTAACGCTCGGGATGAAAATTGGGGGTAACAAAAAAATATAAAAAAACACGTAACAGAGGATTTTCTACCCCCACAGTGTTGTGTGAGAGCAAGGAAGTCACCTTTACCTTCCACCAGGGGGTGAGAATTCGAGAGAGCCGGATCCTCCCGTCTCATTTGAAAGGAGCGAGAAACGGCCTTGACGTTTGCGTCCATTGAAACCTGCGATCGTTCCCCCCCCCCCCCCACGACCTCTGCGTTTCCGTCAGGTCACCGTCAAAGGCCTGGAGCAGATCCTGCACTTTGCCTACACGGGGAAGCTGTACCTGAGCCAGGACAGCTACGAGGACATCCACCGCACGGCCTCCGTGCTGCGCATCCGCACCCTGGAGGAGGCTTGCTTCCGCTTTCTGCAGCAGAAGCTGGGGGGGAGGACTGACGGGCAGGAGCCCGGCAAGGCCCACGCCTGCGGCCCAGCCGAGCCCTTTCAAGCCTCTCGCCTCCCCTGCTTTCTTCCGGAGAAAGTTGCGAGCAGCAGTAGCAGCAGTGGTGGCAGCAACAGCAGCAGAGACGGCAAAGTTTGTAGCGGAGGCCTGAGGCACATGGATGACGGAGAGCCGAGCAAGGCCCAAGCCTGCGGCTTAGCCAGGCCCGCTCGGGCTGCTTTCGACCCCTGCTCTGCTCCAGGTGACGGCAGCAGCGGCGGCGGCGTTTTTAGCCGAGGCTGGAGGCGACCGGCCGATGTCTCCCCGCAAAGCTCCGGCCCGTTTGAGCGCTGGAACGAGGGGCGCTCGAAGCGAGCGGAGACGGTCACCGCGGGCCGCTGGTCTCCGCCGGAGACGGCTCACGCCTTTGACCCCCCGCGGGGGCCTCTGCCCCTCCTCCGCTGCCCGCTGCGTGACATGGACACCTCTTGCCGCGTCATCGTCAGCACCATTCGCACCGGCGGCGGCGGCGGCCGCCTTGGGAGAGATGATAAAGCGTCCGCAGCGGAGTTACGCAGCGACGTGGAGGTGTTCGAGGTGGAGCCCGGGGCGCGGCTCGTCACCGCCAGCAGCAACCTCCGTCGTCGCCGCGGCCCCCTCACCGAGCAGCATGGCTGGCCCAGCAGAGGCCGAGTCGCCGCACTGGGCCAGCGACAAACGGCGCCGGGATGTGGATGCCGCTCCCGGCCCGCTGCTCAAACGCGGCTGGGGTTCACGCGAGTTCGGTGATTTCGGCGGCGGCGACGACGGCGGCTTCGGCGGCTTCGGCGGCGCGGCCCCGTGGAACGACGACCGCCGGACGGCCGCCCCCCTCGCCGCGGACGACCGCCGGCCGCCTCCGGCATGCCCAAAGTACCGGCGCTACCAGGTGGCCTGCAGCAACCAGGACGGCGCGGCGTACAGGGGCGTCATGTCGGGGTGGTGGGCCCCGAGCGAAGAGACGAGGAAGGGGGTGGCGGGCGACCGCGCGGCCGCGGCGCCGAGGGACGTCGCGCCGTGCCGAGAGGAGGGCGCCGGCTTCCGGGCGTCGCCTCCGGCGCCCGCCCGCGACTCCGCGCCGTGCCGCCCCGACCCGCCGTTGACCCCGGCGTGGACCGGCGTCGTCGGGGAGGTGGCGCCGGCGGCGGCTCTCGACCGAGGCGAGATGCGGTTCCCGGCTCGTTGCGGCGGTTCCCGGCGCGGCCCGGCGCTCGCAAGCAGAGCCGTGTGCGGACGCGGATTTGTCGGGCGTCTGGACATGAAGCGCGTGGAGGAGACTGAGAGAGAGGGGGGGAACGACGCATGGGAGGAGGAGGAGGAGGAAGAGGAAGAAGAGGAGGAGAGGAGGAACGAGCAGGAATGTGAAGGAGAGAGAGGAGAGCGTCGGGGTGGCGGGATCGGCTTTGGCAGCGACGTGGGAGGAGGGGCGCGGGCGGAGAGTGGCACGAGGAGCGAGGGTCGCCCGAGCGCGCTCACCGCTGACGCGAGCTCCTCTCCCGTGAATCTCTCCACGTCCTGCCGGTGAGCGAATTCGGTTTCATTCGTTCGCTTCCTGAAGAAGCTCCCTGGCACGATGCCTCGTTCCACGTGTCACGGTGTCGGTGTGTACCAGATGATGACTGTTTAATCCACGCCGTGCGCACTCACCACACTGCAGGTCATAACAACTCACTCACCCACCCACTCACTCACCCACCCACTCACTCACTCACCCACCCACCCACCCACTCACCACCCAACCAGCCACCCACTCGCCACACTGCAGGTCGCTCCACTTCTCTTTCTGCTTCCTCCCTCGCACGTCACCCAACCTCCTACGGTATTCACCTCACACTCTTATCTATTACATCTTCAGTTAGTGCTGTTGGTTGCTGGCCGCTTCGCGGTTTGGGCCCTTGGGCCTGCTTCACTTGGCAAACGTGGCTCACGGAGAGCCGACGATGGCGTGGGTGTTTGTGCGAGCGCCGTGTCACCGCCCGTCTCCCGTGTTGGGTCTCAGGCTGCCCGCCCGCCACGCCAGCGGCAGCACCGCCCCGGCCTCCTCCTCCTCGCCGCTCCCCGCGTCTCTGTCCCCGCGTCTCCCCGCGGCCACCCCCATCGCCTCGTGCCCCGTGCTGGGCCCACAAATGGAAGCGGCCGCCGTCTTCCTCCAACGCTCGCTGGGCCTCCGCGTCAGCTCCACGGCGACCTCCTCCCTCGCTCCGGCGTGGCTACCGACACAACCGACGCCGCAACTTTCTCCGCTGCCGCCGTCGCTGCTGCTGCAACCGCAGCCGCCGCACGCGCCGACGACGGCGATAGCGGCGGCATTGGGCGGTGGCTGTGCGGTGCACGGGGACAGCGCGGCCTTCAGTTCGTCCGGCGAGGACTCGTACTCGGACGACAGTGACTCGTGCGCATCCAAACCCGACTGCCCGGAGGTGAGCCTGCGCCCTGCTTGCTGTGCTGCCAGCCCTGGTCCCCAAACTTCACCCGCACACTGTGTACCTTGAACTCCTTTCGCGCCGTATGTGGCCGACCGTGCTAATCGGAGGATGGGTGAGTGTATGAGTGGGTGAGTGACTGTGTGAGTGGGTGAGTGACTGTGTGAGTGGGTGAGTGATTGTGTGAGTGGGTGAGTGACTGTGTGAGTGGGTGAGTGACTGTGTGAGTGGGTGAGTGATTATGTGAGTGGGTGAGTGACTGTGTGAGTGGGTGAGTGACTGTGTGAGTGGGTGAGTGACTGTGTGAGTGGGTGAGTGACTATGTGAGTGGGTGAGTGACTATGTGAGTGGGTGACTGTGTGAGTGGGTGAGTGACTATGCGTGTGGGTGAGTGACTATGTGAGTCTGTGTGTACGTTAAACTGCTTTCGCACCGCGCGTAGCCAACCGTGCTAATCAGAGGTACGGGGGGAAGGACAACAAACTAAACACTAAAAGCCGTTTTAAAGAAATCAGTTTGTCAATCTAGATGATGACGATTTAAAAGTGCGTAGCTCCGAGTGGCTTCCTAACATCGGAAGGAAGAGCATTCCAGACGGCCGCAGAAGCGCATCTGAAAGCGCCACGCGATGTGGTGACCGTCTGATAACCCTGAGCCACCCCAAAGCCTGAGCCCAACCCCGACTGTGACCGTGAAACGAACAAGAGCACAAACCCTGACGCCAACCGTGCACCGACACGTGTAACCCTTCATGGCTGCAATCCCTCGTCATGCGCTTGATGCCGACACGAACACCGACTCGGATCTCAACACCAGCCCTATGTAACTCGAATGCTACCCGTGACCTTAACCCCAACGCTAACCCCGACTCCAGACGCTGTGCTAACAGCAGCCCTGCGGTTAATCCTCCTGCACCGTGAACCCTGACCCTTGCGCTAACACCTCGCCCTCACCTGTCAACCCGTACGGTTCACCTCGCATTCTTGTACAGGGAAATTGAGGTTAGCGCCACGCTGCCCTACGAACCCGACGACCCCGGTTGGATTCTCGCTCACGGCCAACTCCGCCGGCGGTTATCTGAACCGGTCCTGGGCCTCCCCTAGGCCGACACTCAGCCTCAAATGAGTAACCTGGCGCGGCGTGTAAAAAAAACCATCGGCACCGGAGAGACAAAGGCGGCCGGGCGTGGTGCTGTCCACCCACCCCCCTCGTGCGCCCCGTGCCGGCCTTCATCGGTGGCTGCTCCACGCTAACAGCACTTGTCCCAACAGTCTGTTAAAGCCACACGTGGTGTGCATGTGTGCTTGCGTGCGTGTGTGTGTGCTTGCGTGTGCGTGTGTGCGTGCGTCAGGTGTCGCTGCCGTTCCCCGTGGCGGGCGTGCCCGAGATGTCGCGAAACGAATTCCAGGCGCTGCTGCGGCGCCACGCTCTGTCGGCGGCGCAGCTGGAGCTGGTGCACGACGTACGCCGGCGCAGCAAGAACCGCATGGCGGCGCGGCGCTGCCGCAAGCGCAAGCTGGACTGCATCAACGGCCTCGAGGGGGACATCCGCAAGCTGGTGCGTCTGTTTGTGTGTGTGCTGTGTAGGTGTGTGTCGGTGTAGGTGTAGGTGTGTGTGCTGTGTAGGTGTGTAGGTGTATGTTTAGGTGTGTGTGTGTAGGTGTGTGTGTGTGTAGGTTTGTGTGCTGTAGGTGTGTGTAGGTGTGTGTAAGTGTGTTTGTATAGGTGTGTGTGCTGTAGGTGTGTGTGCTGTAGGTGTGTGTGTGCTGTGTGGGGTGTGTGTAGGTGTGTGTATAGGTGTGTGTAGGTGTGTGTGTAGGCGTGTGTAGGTGTGTGTAGGTGTGTAGGTGTGGTGTGTAGGTGTGTGTGTGTGGTGTGTGTGTGTAGGTACACCATAGACCCAATACTGCCCCTGCACATTAAGCAGTTTCCTTCCCTTAGCCTCCTTCCCTTCCTCTCTTAAATCCTCGCCTCTTCTCTATCGCCCCTTCCCTCGCCCCTCCCCTCGCCCCTCCCCTCGCCCCTCCACTCCTTCCCGTCCCTCCCCTATCGCCCTTCCGTGGTCCCTGAGTCGCCCCCTCTACCCTTGCACGCCCCTGCCAACTAAACTATTCTCCTGTGCTGCCACCGTCTTTTGAAACGACGTTCAGCACCTTGAGTGAAGGCTCTCTGTAAACATCACATAAGATGAAGTGTAAAAAATTGGACCGTTCTGCCAGTATCAAAGTATGAACAAAACAAGAATAATGTATTCTTTACCCTTTCTGGCAATTAAAGAGGAGGTGTTAAGATGTTCGACAATATTCGATGCGCTGTCTTTGAAACTGACCGCCCTACACCACAGACAGCAGCAGCCTTCTTGATGGCCAAGTCTCACCGCCAGTGTCAGAGCAGAGAACGCCAAAAGGCGAACGGCACAAAGACACTGCACTATCAGGGCAAAGATCAGCTGTGTGCGTGTGTGTGGCAGAGTAGGGGGCACAGGTGGTGCATCAGCCAGTCATCTCAGTCATCTTAGTCAGTCGACCCGTAGCACCTGCTGGGTCTGCCCCGTGACCTGCCAGCGGGCGTTCGACACTTCACATGGCCTCAAGGTGCACATGGCCTGGCACAAGCGTCGTAGGGGTGTCACCGCCGCTTAGTGGCGAATGGCAGTTGTTGTTGTTGTGTGTGTGGGGGAGCGGCAGTGTATCAAGAACAAACGTCGGTGCCGCTCGCTATCCGCACTTGCGCCAACAGTCTGTCAAGGCTGCACGGGGGAACTTCGTCACATTTCACCATCGCCATCCTCGCCGCTTCCCCCTCACCCCTCCCAGGTGTCGGAGCGCGAGCGCGCGATCCGCGAGCGCGAACTCCTCACCGTGGAGATGGCCGCGGTGAGACAGAGCTGCGCCGGACTCTACCAGACCATATGCAGGGAGGTGCGCAGCTGCCCCGAGCACATGCGCCTTCTCGGGCCGTACCTCCCCGCCGCGCTGGACCGGCTCGTTCCGGACGCCCCCCTCCCCAACTCCACCGCCGCCGCCGCCTCCGGCCGTGCCCCGCTACCCGAGGTGGCGGTGCCCGTCGCGCTCCGCCCCGACCCCCCCCGCCCCGTCGCGACGGGCGAAGTGCCGCGGCCCGGCGAGAGGAGGAGGGGGGGCGGCGGCGGCGGCGGGGACGGCGGGGACGGCGGGGTGGCGACGGTGGTGGTGCAGATGCGAGCGATGGAATGGTCCACGCCGTCGGGAGGGGGTCGTGGTGGGCGCGCTCGCCCCGGGGATGGTGGGAAGGTGGCGCAGTCCGACGTGGAGAAGGACGCACAGGATCATGGGAAGGGAAATGGCGATGGTTTTGCAAGATTGCAGATTAGCGCTTCGTAGGTTGATTTACCCGAAATCGCGATGCTTCAGGCTGAAGAGCGTTGAATCGGTGGTTTTAAATTGCCATGTTCATCTTCACGTTTTATGAGCATATTTTTATATGGTGGGATGAGACTTTTGGACCAAACTGGCACGTGAAAGACACATTTTTTGTAAAAAAAAAATTTTTGTAAAAAAAATGTATTAATGGGGTGCAAAAAAAAACACGTGGCAAAGAATCATCGTGCTTAAAACATGACAGGCGTTGGACACACCCCCATATCTGCTTACAGCCCTGAACCAGCAGTTCCAATTCAATGTTCCTGTGACGGGGGTCAGTCAAAGACTGTTACTGAATTTTGTTGACCCTCGAGGGATGATGATGATGATGGGCTTAGTCAACCTCCAACTGGAATTCTGCGATTCATGACCTGCTGAATTTAACTTTTTTTTATCAACGGTGTTAGCAACGCTTACACGCAAGAGCTCAAAAGGAACATTAATGATCTTGGGCCACTGGGGGCAACATTCCTCATTCCTATGGAAGGGCCCAGTTTGTCCGTGTTTAAAGGAACTCGTCAACTCAAGCACTCACCCCCTGCAGCCTCTTACTGGACTAACGCTGCTGACGACGACGACGATGATGATGATGGTGATTAAGAAGCCTCGTCCTGTATGGGAATTGAACTTATTTTCCTCACAGTTGCGAGGTGAAGAGGAGGACGTTGCTGCCACAGAGGTTCCGTCACGTTGAGCAGCACAGTGGAGGTCCGCTGGTTCTCTCCGGCATGGCAGCTAAAACTCTCTAAACTAAAAAAAAGATGTTGTATTTGACCAGGTGAGGCCCACAACAGCAACCTGGCCACAAATGATAGCTCAACGAAATGGCAAATGTGGAAATCCATAGCAGCCAAATACTCTAAACGTGTGATGTTGGTTTTAAATATGGAGGGAAAAACCAGAGGTCCCAGTAAAAAATCCACAGGGAGAGAGAACACGCAAACTCCAAATATACAGCAGGCGTCTGGGTTGAGATGGAACCCACAATCTCCTGTATACCAGGCGAGGTAATGAACATCTCCTAGCCGGTGTGCAGCACATGGGCTGCGCCACAGTTGTGAGGTGGGCAGGTGGATCGTGCCGGGTGGAGTGAAGCGTGGGTCACTCCTCGCCTCTTCCCAGAAGGCCTCGCCAGTGTGCAAGAGTAGGCCAAAATACCCTCGAGGGTGGCGCTATTCTTCTGCGATGCACTATGGGTATCGATTAAAGTATTAAAGGTATTTTTTAAAAGTATGTTTTGATGTTTTTTTATTTTTGTGTGGTAATGTACGTGATAATGGACCAGCCATATGCATTCTTGTGTAAATTCCGTTATAAGTTATTCATCAAATCCACACACACAGAGCCATACTACCTACAGACGCTGCACATCAACGGAATTGATTTCTATTTCACCTTGTGGGGCGAGAAGCGTGGAAGAGTAGGCCAAATACCCTCCACGAGAGGGCCTCTGGAGCTCCCTCCAGCCGAGGCCCTCCTGCCAGCGGTGGCGTGAGCCAGCGGTTGCGGGGCAGCGCCTTTACTCCTACACGGACTAAAAAGGGCTGGGCGGCTGAGCAGCAGAGGTTGGACTGCACTTCTATGCGTTCCCCGCCTTCATCAACCCGCACTCACCGGCGTGGTGAGGTGTGGTGACCACTCCGGTGAGTGTGGGGGGGCCATCGTTCATCATTGCATCGACAGAATGGGCTCTGTGCACGTGCGTGTGGCCTTCAGCGTTAGCCAGTGGTGAAAATTCCACATTCCTATGGCGAGGATCAAAAAAATAGAGCGAGAAGTGTAGAGATTGCAATAAATGCTATGCCAGTATTACAATGATGAACGTTACGTATTTTGTTTTGAATCGAGGGATTGAAGCCAGCGTTGTAAGTTCTGCTGCATTGCCACTCGATCGGTAATGTAACACACGGGCCCACTCACCGTTGCGTTATTTGCAGCTGCCTCTTTGTGTTCCGTTTGGTTGTCGTTTCCCGCCTGCACCTCTTCCGTTCAGCACGGTCGGCTACGTGCGGTGCGAAAAAGAAGTTCAACATACGTCGACTTACTCTGTGCGAAGCGAGCGGTCATTCCACGTTATCACTGACGGGTGTCCGGTCCATCCACAGGACGACCCATTCTCAACTCCCCACGAACTTGGTGCTAATAATTTTATCGACACTGGATGGCGACAACGACGACGGTGTTATGATGATCGATAATGGTGAAGGCGATGATGATGACAGTGACGACGATGTCGATCATTATAATGATTAATTATAATGATTGTTTAATTATAATGATTGTTTAATTATAATGATTGTTAAATTGATAACAATCGCGGTGGGCTGCATCCACAACTCACCTGGATTTGAACTCCACGACCTCCCAGTGGTTGAGTGACGTCTCTCCGACGCCGGTGGCATTTCCCCCTCCCCCCCGATCCCTTGTGGACCCTGGAAGTTGTTTTGTCTAGAATATGGAATCACTGAAATGCTTGCACTATAGTATCACGGGGCTTTAGCACGCGTGATGCCCTTCCGAAATACGTTGCTCAAAAGATTCGAGTTGCCTTTAGCAGTGCACTAACACACACACAGATCCCTTTAGCAGTGCACTAACACACACAGATCCCTTTAGCACTGCACTAACACACAGATCCCTTTAGCAGTGCACTAACACACACAGATCCCTTTAACAGTGCACTAACACACACACACAGATCCCTTTAGCAGTGCACTAACACACACAGATCCCTTTAACAGTGCACTAACACACACACAGATCCCTTTAGCAGTGCACTAACACACACACAGATCCCTTTAACAGTGCACTAACACACACACAGATCCCTTTAGCAGTGCACTAACACACACACAGATCCCTTTAACAGTGCACTAACACACACAGATCCCTTTAACAGTGCACTAACACACAGATCCCTTTAACAGTGCACTAACACACACACACAGATCCCTTTAGCAGTGCACTAACACACACACAGATCCCTTTAGCAGTGCACTAACACACACACAGATCCCTTTAACAGTGCACTAACACACACACAGATCCCTTTAGCAGTGCACTAACACACACACACAGATCCCTTTAGCAGTGCACTAACACACACACACAGATCCCTTTAACACTGCACTAACACACACAGATCCCTTTAACAGTGCACTAACACACACACATCCCTTAAGCAGTGCACTAACACAGATCCCTTAAGCAGTGCACTAACACACACACACACATCCCTTTCGCAATGCACTAACACACACACACAGATCCCTTTAGCAGTGCACTAACACACACACAGATCCCTTAAGCAGTGCACTAACACACACAGATCCCTTTAGCAGTGCACTAACACACACGCACACAGATCCCGCGTCTAGTGTAAAGCTCCACTCGGTATATGCTGCCGAGGGTTGGACTGGAGTTACCCACCTTATCTTCACTTACACACAATGCACGCGCATGCACATCGTCACAAAGTGGCGGTGATGTCCCCGCGGCGGCGCTTGTGCCAGGCTAGGTGCACGCGTAGACACTCGCCGCACGCTCAAAGATGTTGTTACTGGTAGCTGCAAGCATTACGCGACCGTGTTGTAATTGTTGATAGGGCGGCAGCTACGACGTGGAAGGGGAGCAATGTCGAGGAGGTTTCTGAGTGACTTTGCTGTTTGTGTTGGTGCAGAAGTGACGTTTGTAGCGAAGATCTGAAACCGCAGGGCGCTTGACTCGCCTGCTCTTGCCTCTCATCCCATATAGAACCCTCATCCCATATAGAACCCTCGTCCCATACAGAACCCTCGTCCCATACAGAACCCTCGTCCCATACAGAACCCTCGTCCCATACAGAACCCTCGTCCCATACAGAACCTCATCTCATACAGAACCCTCATCCCATACAGAACCCTCGTCCCATACAGAACCCTCGTCCCATACAGAACCCTCGTCCCATACAGAACCCTCGTCCCATACAGAACCTCATCCCATACAGAACCTCATCCCATACAGAACCCTCGTCTCGTCCGCCACGGCACCCTCACAGTCGCGCCCTATCCTGCCCCCCTGTAGTCTGGCTCTCTGGTGTGGGCTGTGTGGGCGGTGTGGGTGATGTGGGTGGTGTGTGCGGTGTGTGCGGTGTGGGTGGTGTGTGCGGTGTGTGCGGTGTGGGCTGTGTGGGTGGTGTGTGCGGTGTGGGCTGTGTGGGTGGTGTGGGTGGTGTGGGTTGTGTGGGTGGTGTGGGTGGTGTGGGTGGTGTGGGTGATGTGGGTGGTGTGTGCGGTGTGGGTGGTGTGTGCGGTGTGTGCGGTGTGGGCTGTGTGGGTGGTGTGTGCGGTGTGTGCGGTGTGGGCTGTGTGGGTGGTGTGGGTGGTGTGGGTTGTGTGGGTGGTGTGGGTGGTGTGGGTGGTGTGGGCGGTGTGGGTGATGTGGGTGATGTGGGTGGTGTGTGCGGTGTGTGCGGTGTGTGCGGTGTGTGCGGTGTGGGTGGTGTGTGCGGTGTGTGCGGTGTGGGCTGTGTGGGTGGTGTGGGTGGTGTGGGTGGTGTGGGTTGTGTGGGTGGTGTGGGTGGTGTGGGTGGTGTAGGTGATGTGGGTGGTGTGGGCTGTGTGGGTGGTGGGGGTGGTGTGTGCGGTGTGGGCTGTGTGGGTGGTGTGTGCGGTGTGGGCTGTGTGGGCTGTGTGGGTGGTGTGGGTGGTGTGGGTGGTGAGGGTGGTGTGTGCGATGTGGGTGGTGGGGGTGGTGTAGGTGATGTGGGTGGTGGGGGCGGTGTGTGCGGTGTGGGTGATGTGTGCGGTGTGGGTAGTGGGGGTGGTGTGTGCGGTGTTGGTGGTGTGTGCGGTGTGGGTGGTGAGGGTGGTGTGTGCGGTGTGGGTAGTGGGGGCGGTGTGTGCGGTGTGGGTGGTGGGGGCGGTGTGTGCGGTGTGAGTGATGTGTGCGGTGTGGGTAGTGGGGGTGGTGTGTGCGGTGTTGGTGATGTGTGCGGTGTGGGTGGTGGGGGCGGTGTGTGCGGTGTAGGTGGTGTGGGTGGTGTGTGCGGTGTGGGTGATGGGTGCGGTGGGGGCTGTGGGTGGGGTGGGTGGTGTGGGTGGTGGGGGCGGTGTGTGCGGTGGTGGCGGTGTGTGCGGTGTGGGTGGTGTGGGTGGAGGGGGCTGTGTGGGTGGTGTGGGTGGTGGGGGCTGTGTGGGTGGTGTGGGTGGTGTGGGTTGTGTGGGTGGTGTGGGTGGTGTGGGTTGTGTGGGTGGTGGGGGCTGTGTGGGTGGTGTAGGTGGTGTGGGTTGTGTGGGTGGTGTGGGTGGTGTGGGTGGTGGGGGCTGTGTGGGTGGTGTGGGTGGTGTGGGTTGTGTGGGTGGTGTGGGTGGTGTGGGTGGTGTGGGTTGTGTGGGTGGTGGGGGCTGTGTGGGTGGTGTGGGTTGTGTGGGTGGTGGGGGCTGTGTGGGTGGTGTGGGTTGTGTGGGTGGTGGGGGCTGTGTGGGTGGTGTAGGTGGTGTGGGTGGTGTGGGTTGTGGGGGTGGTGGGGGCTGTGTGGTGTTGTGGGTTGTGTGGGTGGTGGGGGCTGTGTGGGTGGTGGGGGCTGTGTGGGTGGTGTGGGTGGTGTGGGTGGTGTGGGTTGTGGGGGGTGGTGGGGGTTGTGTGGGTGGTGTGGGTGGTGTGAGTGGTGTGGGTGGTGTGGGTTGTGTGGGTGGTGGGGGCTGTGTGGGTGGTGTGGGTGGTGTGGGTTGTGGGGGTGGTGGGGGCTGTGTGGGTGGTGTGGGTGGTGGGGGTGGTCCCCTAGGGGTCAAGCCGAGGGGCTGGGTGCGTCTCTGTCGCCGGCTTCGTCATGGCCATGTCAGGAGGCACCTCGCCACCGCCGCCGCCGCCGAGGGCTCTGGGTGCTACCCCCTGTTGCTGGGCGTATTTGTTTCCCTTGGAGTGGCGGGGTGGGCTCTGAATGGCCTTGTCAGAGCCACATTTGCTGCCATCCGCCACTCTATTCTGGGCAGCCACCCACCTGTGGTCATGGAAGGTTTTAATTTGTCATCCTTGGGCCGTCACCAATGATTGTACTGAGCAAAACACCGTGTCATGTACATTTCTTTAAGGATGATTTATGGGGCTGCTTGTCACTTGCCCCCCCCCAGCTTCGGATCTGTCTGGCAGCGAGCCATGCCACCAACCTTCACCCCGCCCCCGGGAACGGGCCCGCGGAAGTGGATACCACAGAGCCACTTCTGAGATCCCGGCTGCTTCTTGACGTGGCGCGCTGTGGTGCACCCATCCTGCCGTACGGGAGGGGGGGGGGGGTTGATGTTCGTTGCCTGACGGTCATAAGCCGACGTGATAATGGGAGAGCGGGCATTGTAGCCGAATTATGCGCAGGGAACACATTTGTTGAGTTGCGTTGTTGTTGTTGTTGTCGTGCGGTCATTGGTGACCCCGGGACCAAGACGTGAAATCCACCACGGCCTTCGTCTCGTCACTGGATGACGGCCGAGACTCCGAGTGAAGTGCAGGTTACTGCTGCTGCTGGTGGTAGTGGTGTTAGCGGATATTGCTTCCCACCAGCGAGTGAAGGGTTTGTTTTTTATTCCCCCACGTGTTTGTGCTCCCAGGTTTGGCGTTGGTTGCGGGGGGGGGGGGGTGTGTGGAAAAAGGTGTCGCGGTCACACTGACACTCGACCGAGCCGAATTGCTCCACAGTCGATTGTGCAGAGCGATCTATGGAGTCAAGAGTCTTTGGGTTCGATCGCGTCAATCTAAATGTGTCGTTAAACCCGCCACCACCCGACGCGGCCAATTCGTACGGGGTTGTCACGTAAACAAAACGTGCCGATTTGTTACAAAACGTGCCACTTTGTTACACAACGTGCCACTTTGTTACACAACACGCCACTTTGTTACACAACGCGCTGCTTTGTTTATACGAGGACAGCGCAGCAGAGTGTTGGGGGAGCAAGCCCACTGCGTTGACTTGGCGGTGACGACTCGTAGCCAATGTGGGGCAGGGCGGGTGGCAGCAGGGCGGGCGCGTGCTGATGGCGCTGCTCCAAGAGGCTCGCAGCCGCAAGTCCCTGGGTTCGATCCCCGACTCGGGCGTCGTTCCGGTGTGCGGTTTGTTTTGGCCCGTGTCATGCCATGCTGCGTGTCAGCAACCACCACCACCCACCACCACCACCACCACCAACCACCACCAACCACCAACCACCACCAACCACCACCCACCAACCACCACCACCAATGCGTGCAGCTGGTTGTGGCTGCAGGAGGCATTCGGTGCAATCTGTCAATGGATCGCTCTGTATGATGAGAAAGCGTGATTCCTTAGCATTTGGCGCTTCGCAAAACTGAAACCGTGTGGTGTCGCAGATCTGACCTCAAATATCAGCCGGCACCATCAGGCGCCAGCCAGATGATGCCGGTTGTAATGACAGGCGAAACGTCGTACTCGGATTGTGAATGTTGTGGATTTGCTCTCCAACACACTACCGGTCTTGCCGTACTAGTGACGAATTGGCACATTCTGTTGACGTGACAACCCTTACTAGTTGGCTGTGTCAGGGTGGTGGCGGGTCTAACAACACATTTATATATTTATTACGCGATCTAACCCAAAAAAAACTTTCATTATGGATGACATTGGTCGTGAAAGCCTCCGTGTTAAACAGACGTTTTAATGTTCTGATATTTTCGTGCTAAGGTTTTTGTTTGTGTAAAAACTTACAATTTACAGCGTTTTGTTACTGATTTAAAAAATATATGCAAATTTGCATTTGATATATCTCTCTTTATATATATACATCTGTGTTGTGCCAAGGATTTTTGTACAAATGTTGTTTTGTAAGTGTCTTGTTTGAACGCGACGTTGTAATCGGTTGCGCGATGCCGTCTATTGTATTTTGGTAATCGCGTGACGTTAGAACCGACACCGTGTTCGGACTTGTTTCATAAGCAAAAAAAAATGATTCCATGTTGAATTAAAAATATCTATATTTTTTTAATTGACCATATATGTTCGTGGCCTAATCTGTACTTGGAGGTTAGCGCAACCGAGATGTACATCTGTTTGCTAGCCAGCGTCACCAAGTGCCTCACCTCCCGTCCAGCGGCACACCTGTGGGAAAACTCAGAGACTTACCCCCCCCCTGCCCGCACCAACAACAATTGTTGCGTTGTCCGAATGGTCGAGAATATCGAAGCGGCACATCGGCGCGCGGTCGTCGTCGATGACTTAAATGGTCCCAACCCGGCTTGGGAAGAATCGAAACACTCCTTTGTCGCCTTTGCGGTGATTGTCATTTCGCGGAGGCCTTCATCCGGCAATGGATCGAGAAAAAAGGGGGGAGTGTGGCGTTATTGGTTTTAATGTTGATAGCACCTCGCCCGAGGACTTGAACCTGACCCCAGCATCGCTAAGTAGTTGCCTTGACATAACCATTACGAGCCTGCTGATGAATGGGGGAGAACACCCAGCAGCCTCGGGGGCCTGCGGGCCGCCGGCTCCGTGCAGACCGGCCGGTTTAGAACCCCGTAAAGGGCGAGTTGCGACGGCGCGGGGGGCATGCGGGGTGCATGCAGGGCATGTGGTGCATGTGGTGCATGTGGTGCATGCAGGGCATGTGGTGGAGGTTGGGAGATGAAGGTGAAGGAGGAGGTGGTGATGGGTGGGACCAGTGGTGTGCAGGGTGGAGGAGGAGGTGGTGATGGGTGGGACGAGTGGTGTGCAGGGTGGAGGAGGAGGTGATGGGTGGGACGAGTGTTGTGCAGGGTGGAGGAGGAGGTGATGGGTGGGACGAGTGGTGTGCAGGGTGGAGGAGGAGGTGATGGGTGGGACGAGTGGTGTGCAGGGTGGAGGAGGAGGTGATGGGTGGGACGAGTGTTGTGCAGGGTGGAGGAGGAGGTGGTGATGGGTGGGACGAGTGGTGTGCAGGGTGGAGGAGGAGGTGATGGGTGGGACGAGTGTTGTGCAGGGTGGAGGAGGAGGTGGTGATGGGTGGGACGAGTGGTGTGCAGGGTGGGACGAGTGGTGTGCATGGTGGAGGAGGTAGTGATGGGTGGGACGAGTGGTGTGCAGGGTGGAGGTGGGCAGATGACTGAGACCGGGATTGGAGTGGCACCCAGAGGTGGGCGACCAACGGAAAGAGAAGACCTCAAGCCAGACGGTGGTGGTGGTGGTG